GACTACCTTTCCAAGTTGTTATATAAATATATGATGTTAGTGTGAACCCTGGTTCTCAAGCAATTCATTTTCCTAATTGTTCTTTTCTGACCTCACAGATGTTGCTGTTTTTATGACAATGATTCATTGCTGAGGTATTACTGCAATTTAGAACAAGTGCTGCTCTCACCTGATGAGATATAAAATTTGTAGCTTTCTATGTCAGTGCCTCATTTTGTTTTCAGAGAGCTTGCAAAAACTTGTTTCAGTTGCATCTGTTTGTCATGTGGGTGTATAATCTGTGATAGAATGGATCGATTAAACACGAAGGTACCATAACATAAATGAGACTGATTTGGGGAAACTCCCGTTTCCTCCCTTTTTCGAGTTCTACCAGGGGTGGTTTTTGGTTGAGTGATGAGGACTAGGGAGGTGTGTATCACTTTGTAAGAAAGGCAGGCCATAAACTGGGTGTGGTGGCTCACACCTGTAATCCCAGCACTTTGGAAGGCTGAGGCAGGTGGATCACTTGAGGTCAGGAGTTCAAGACCAGCCTGGCCAACATGGTGACACCTCACCTCTACTAAAAATACAAAAATTAGTTGGGTGTGGTGGTGGGTGTCTGTAATCCCAGCTACTTGGGAGGCTGAGGCAGGAGAATTGCTTGAACCCAGAAGGTGGAGGTTGCAGTGAGCTGAGATCGTGCCATTGCACTACAGCCTGGGGGACAGAGCAAGACTCTGTCTCAAAAACCAAAACCAAAACAAAAATAAAGGCTTTCCAGAAACGCATGTTGGATATGTTCATCCTACCCGATCTTACCAGATACATGGGGTAGATTTGACTAATGGTTAAGTAATGTTTGCAAATCCATTTCCAGGAAGGCCAATAAGGTTGGCAGTCAAAGCTTTCATCCTGTATTTGCAAGAATCCCTCTTCAGGATGGTGCTGAAGAATTGATCACCACATAGGCTTTTTGGTGCTAACAGAGTACCAGGCCTGGGCTAGTAAGTCTAAAACGTGGTTCCAGCCCCACAGTTGATAGTCTAATGCACTCACCCAAAGGCAGGTCTGAATTGTACAGCAGAATCCCGCCAGGCCACCCGAAATGGACTGGCTTTTATAATGATAGTATGTCCCAGTTTTCCTTGATAGTGCTTTTCAAACTGCTTTGTTTTGGGGCAGTGCAGTGGTGAATGTTTATGTCTTCCTCAAATTCATAAGCTGAAGTCCTCACCCCAAGGGGTGATGGTCTTAGGAGGTGAGATTTCTGGGAAGTGAGTAGGCCATGCTGGCTCTGCCCTCATCACTGGGATAAGTGCCATTATAAAAGAGGCCAGAGAGGGACCTCTGACTCTCTTCACTATATTACGTGGGGGGTCAGTGAAGAGGCAGCCATCAGGAAAGTAGGTCTTCACCAGACACCAAATCTGTAAGCACCTTGATCTTGGACTTTCCAGCTTCTACAACTGTGAGAAGTAAGTTCTGTTGTGTATAAGCCACTTAGTCTATGGTATTTTGTTATAGTAACCTGAATGGATGAGGACAGGTAGGCTGGAATTGGGGTAGAGATTGGGTCCGGAGATGTAGACAGCAGAATTCCAGAGCATCTGTAAACTCCACATTCAATCAGAGCATCTCATTTAGAAAACATACTATTGTATATCTGCCTTTTAAAAATTATGTTTGGGCTGGGCACGGTGGCTCACGACTGTAATCTCAGTACTTTGGGAGGCCAAGATGGGTGCATCACTTAAGGCCAGGAGTTCAAGACCAGCCTCGCCAACATGGCAAAACCCCGTCTCTAATAAAAATACAAAAATTAGCCAGGCGCGGTGGCACACACTTGTAATCGCAGCTACTTGGGAGACTGAGGCAGTAGAATTGCTTGAACCAGGGAGGTAGAGGTTGCAGTGAGCCAAGATCACACCACTGCACTCCAGCCTGGTGATAGAGCAAGACTCCATCTCTAAAAATAATAAAAAATAAAAATAGTTTGTTTTAGATTTACAGAAAAGTTGTGAAGCTATTACTGAGAGTTTCAAAGAAGTACACATTTTTCTCTATTTACATCTTACATTGATATATGATACATTTGTTATAATTAATGAACCAATATTGATGCATTATTAAGTAAAACCCATATATTTAGATGTTCTTGGGTTTTATCCCATGTCCTTTTTCTATTCCAGTATCCTGTCCAGGATACCATGCTGCATTTCAGAGTTGTGTCTCCTTGGTGCTCCCTTGGTTATCATGATTTCTCGGACTTTCCTTGTTTTTGATGACCTTGACAGTTTTGAGGGGTACTGGTTAGGTATTCTGTAGAATGTCCCTCAACTGGGATTTTGATGATGTTTTTCTCATGATCAGATTGGGATTATGGGTTTGGGGAGAAATATGACAGGGGTAAAATACCACACTTATCACATCATATCAAGGGCACAGACTGTCAGCATGACTCATCACTGCTGATGTGGGCTTTGATTGCCTAAATGAAGTTGTGAAGTTTTCCATTGTAAAGATACTTTTTTCCTCCCCTCTACACTGTACTCTTTGGAAAGAAGTCACTGTGCACAGCCCACAATTTTAGGACTTATGCTGTACCTACTAGAGAGGGGAAAATGTCCTAAAAAGTTTTCATTCCCTTTACTTCCTTTAATGTTATAGATTTTCTTTTGTATTTCATTAATTTGGGTCTAAAATAGAAAAGTGGTACATGTAGGTGGTCTCGTTTCTGTGTTAGTTCACAAACACAGAAACACTTTAGAAAGTGGTTTTAGTTGCAGGCAAGTCCCTCTTTTTTTCTTTCTTTCTTTTTTTTTTTTTTTTTTTTTGAGACTGCATCTTGCTCTGTCTCCTAGGCTGGAGTGCAATGGCATGATCTTGGCTCATTGCAACCTCCGCCTCCCAGGTTTAAGTGATTCTCCTGCCTCACCCTCCTGAGTAGCTGTGATTACAAGTGTGTGCCACCACACCTGGATAATTTTTGCATTTTTAGTAGAGACAGCGTTTCACCATGTTGGTCAGGCTAGTCTCGAACTCCTGACCTCGTGATCCGCCCGCCTCAGCCTCCCAAAGTGCTGGGATTACAGGTGTGAGCCACTGCACCCGGCAAGTCCCTCTTTTTAAATGAAAGTTGTGGGCAGACAATTATGCTCGGAGACCAGATAATCTGGTCAAAGGGACCAGAAAGATGCCCCTGAATCAGGTGTTGGTTAGTGGCTTAGTGTGTGGTAGGCTACCCATGAAGCCTTTGTGCTCTGATGCCTGACTGAGGACTCAGTCCTCCTAATAAAGAGTATGAGGCCCATCCCAGCATGGCTGACTCTCTAATGGCCAAGTTCACTTGGGTCTGTGTGGCTTAGCTCTCAGGATGGTCAGGTCGTGTGCCCAGAGCTGGGCCTTGGGACCTGGCTAGACAGACCTAAAGAGTTTTCTGCTGCAATCAAATAAAGGATAACAGTATTAATTTGGAACATGTTGAGAAGTCATTATTGTAATTAAGCACAAGTTAAGCATGCATAATAAAATAAGCACTTCACATAATTGACTAGAATTATTTTAACACAACCAAAGCAAAAATCCAATTCTCAGTCTTCCTCTCCCTTTCTTATACCAGTGACCATTATTGACAGTGTCTCCTGATTTCAACTATAATTTATTTTTCAATTTACTTGTTTATGCTCTAAGTCATAGCACTTAATATGATGATTTCTATGTAGCAAAGATTTCCTTATGCCTGATTTCCTAGGGCCAAGGACTCAAGGAGTCTGTAAACGTTGTCTATAATTTTAAATTGACCATATGTTCAATGAGTAGGAGAGTTGATATGAAGCAAGGGAGGTATCATAGCCCCAGCCTAAAAAGGTCTCTAGACCCTTTGCTCTGTGCTGCAAAAATAGGTTTAGAATTCCATTTTTTTTTTTTTTTTGAGATGGAGTCTTGCTCTGTTAGACTGGAGGGCAGTGGTCCAATCTTGGCTCTGCAACCTCTGCCTCCCAGGTTCAAGTGATTCTTCTGCCTCAGCCTCCTGAGTAGCAGGATTATAGTCATGCACCACCGTGCTCAGCTAATTTTTGTATTTTTAGTAGAGATGAGGTTTTACTATGTTGATCAGGCTGGTCTTGAACGCCTGACTTCATGATCCATCCACCTCAGATATGTGTAAGTGATTGTAATTCACTGAGCACTCCCTTATCATTTAGTTCTGTATCACACCGCATTTTCATCATTCTACTTCGATCCTGTCTGACCCACTTTCCTGCCATTGCTGATTATATAATAGGACAATCTTAAGTAGGAGTGAGTTTTACCTGGATTCAGTGGCCTGAGAATTTTTTCCTTCCCTTTACTATTTCTTTAGGTTTCACATTCTAAGGGTCAGTGACACTTAACTGTTATCTATTCTTTCCCAAATGAGTCATGGAAAAATGGAAAATGAGTTTGAAAATTATCCTCATATGGCAGCCATCATGAAACTTGTAAGGAAAAATGGCACTCAGAGAGTAATAAGCCTCTAAAAAATTCTGAAATTGAGGGGAAAAAAAATAAACCCTCAAAGAATTTAGCGGACTTCAGTCAGTTTTAAATAGGAGGCCCAAAATAAATAAGTGAGAACTTTGAAAACTTCATTCACATCAATACATGCCAGCTTTTTTCATATTATTAAGATATTTGCACATATTTTGGTCAAAAGCTGCTTAAAATATATATTCAGAAGAAAGAAAAATGTTCATAATATGCCGTAGGATTTTTTTTGTTTGTTTTTTGTTTTTCTGAGATGGAGTTTTGCTCTTGTTACCAAGGTTGGAGTGCAATGGCACGATCTCGGCTCACCGCAACCTCTGCTTCCTGGGTTCAAGCAATTCTCCTGCCTCAGCCTCCCAAGTAGCTGGGACTACAGGCACATGCCACCATGCCACCTAATTTTTTTTTGTATTTTTAGTAGATAGAGACGGGGTTTCACCATGTTGACCAGGATGGACTCGATCTCTTGACCTTGTGATCCACCTGCCTCAGCCTCCCAAAGTGCTGGGATTATAGGCGTGAGCCACCACGCCCGTCCAGTATTTTTTTTTTTTTTTAAGACAACCTTCTAAGTTTGCCTCTGAAACTATCCTGGGAGCAACTGTCCTCTGGGGATTTATGGTCTAGTGCAGTGGTTCTCACACTCTACTGCATACCAGAATCCCTGGAGGACTCAGGAGAGCACGGAGCCCTGGGCCTCACCCTAGAGTGTCTGATTCAGTAGGTCTGGGCTGGGCAGAGAATTTGCATTTCTAACAAGCTCTCAGATAATGCTGATGCTGTTGGTTTGGGCCTGATCTAATAGTTTAGCTGACACATCAGTAAACACAATTCAAAGATTAAATGTTGTAAAATAAGTACAAGTAACATGCAATGGGAAATCGGGTGTAGAAAAGTAAGGCAAAAGATGAATGAACAACTGAAGATCGGAGAAGCCATAGTGGAAGCGGGAAAGGTTAAGCAGGATCTTATAGCCTTGGCAGGTAGGGCAGGGCATTTTGGAGATGACACTCTCCTATTGGGAGGGAGAGTGTAGTCTAGCACAGGTGGAGAGCAGGCTGGTGTGAAGGGAGGATCAACCATGAACAGGTGGAATTGAGAATGAGAGAGCTGGAAAGTTAAATGAACATGTTCTTGGTTTTTGGAGTTTGGAAGCAATGTGAAAGCATGATCAGAGCTATGCTTAAGAAGGGCAGTGCTGGCATTCTGATGGATGGTATAGGAAGAGAAAGAGTGATTTTGGGAGAATCAGTTAAGAATTATTGAGTCAGCCCAGTCCAGGAGCAAGGATAGGCTGAAGAAGAGCATGAAGGTGGGAGGGATACAGTCATGTGAGACGTCTGCAGCAGAAGCCATGAATTTGGTAGTTGATTGGTTCCTGAAAATGAGAGAGAGGGAAGGGTCAAAGGAGAGTAAGGATTCAAAGTCTGAATTGTTGGAGAAGAGTGTTGGTGGTGGCCGGATCTCTCAGAAATAGTTGAATAGAAAACAAACCTTCTGGGACTTGGTTTCTTTAGGAGCGGAGTGGACTAGATACTCTTAAAGGTTTCTTTGTAATTGTAATTAAGGGTTTGAGGGTTGTTGGTTGTCTGAAATATGACAGAACATAGCTGTACAAAAAATTAATGGCTTGTATATAACAGACACTCATATATTTGTTGATTGGTTGATCCATGACAATCATTAGCTCTGAAATAGTTATATCTGCAAATAGTCTTCTTTCTGAGCTCTTCATTTTGCTGTGCTTTTCTTACTGTGTTGACTTACTCTTCCTCCCATTTTATAAACTATGAATATGAACTTTTTTTTTATATGTGCACTATGTATATATTATTTATTTATTTATTTTTAAAGATGAGGTTTCACCATGATGGCCAGGCTGGTCTTGAACTCCTGACCTCAGGTGATCCACCCACCTCGGCCTCCCAAAGTGCTAGGATTACAGGTGTGAGCCACTGTGCCTGGCCTTCTATGTATATATTTTAAATAAGTACAACAGATAATTTAAACATCTCTTTGGCTGCTTCTTACATCATAATACTTATACCACATATTGAGATATTTATACACAATGCTGTCTTTCCCACTGGATCATAAACTCATTTTGGGTAAGGGGCACCTTACTCATTTTTGTCTTCCTCGCTGCACTTACCGTAAATACTTATAAAAAGTGGCCAGCAAATGTTTGAGGAATTGGATTGAATCATTGAGTAAATTACTATCTGTTCTTTTGGAAGAGACAATGTCTCAGACAATAAAGTAATAGTTTAAAGGGAAATGGAAGTCCATATATCCTAGGAGATAGAAAGAGGAAACACGTTTAGTTCAGTAGACTCTCCGAACTAGAGTAGAGTTATTTATGGACACTTTAGGGACTGGAAGCAAAAGCCCATAAAAAGTAGCCAGTGTTTAGCTCTATCCTAAATTAGCCATTGAAAATCTTGGGCCAGATCTTTTCATGCTGGGCCTCCATTTTCTCCTTTGTAATATTGAGGTTGTACTAAACTACAAAGTTTCAGAAATCTCTGAACACCCTTCTGGGAAGAATTCTAAGCAGAGGGAACAGGAAGAGTAAAATATAAGAGATGGGTAATAGTATGCGTGTTCTTTGTGATCAGGTGTGACATGCTAGGAAATTAAGCAGGAAAGGCAGGTGGAGGCCTTGTTTCAGAGGGCCGTTTCTCCTAGGGAGCCTGGACCCATCCTACGATGATAGGTGGTGTCTTGTGCAGAGATTTGTACCAGATGGTGCCATTGGGAATGCCATCCAGGGAGCGGGGGTGAAGGGCCAGGGACAGTCATCCAGGGAAGGAGGCAAAGGTAATACAAGGAGGCATTACTGAGGTGCCATTGCTATAGGGAGCTGTTTGCTTTATTCCAAGAGATCATCTGAGAAGTTCTATGAAATACACTCAGTACAGTTTATGTAGAGGAAAAAAGGGAGAGGGTTTTAGCCATGTTTCTTGTCTCCCATTGAATAAAGGCACATTATACTTCTGGATTGCACATGTATGACTGCCAGGTTCCCGTGGGGGACACATGAAGCAGCAACAGAGGAGTCTTGGGGTGAGTGGGCCTGTCAGGTTGCACTTGCGTGAAGCTGGTTAAATTCTTCATGGAACTGGCTGCAACGGCAATGCAGGAATAAGAAGCAAGTTTGAGAGGCTTTGAAGCAGTGCATAAAAAGAGGCCAACACAGGGAGCTACTGAGAGCTTTTAAACAAAGGAACACCTAATCAGAATTATGTAATGGTGTGGTGGGAAGTGTTTAACAACCAGCTCTGCAGAAAATGTGTGTGCAGGTACATATAATAGACATGTGTCTATTATAAATTGTACTGATGTGAAAGATGTGTAGCATACAATTTACAAGTAGTAATACAATACTCTGTATCATTACATCTATCTAGCTAATTGATTTAGACAGATTTCTGCTGGTTTTTGTTGAACTCTTGTATCCACAGCCTAGCTATGGTTACAATTGATGAAAGAGCATATTGATGTTTTCTTTTGACATTATTAGGTTGAAAGTAAAAGCAGCAAAGCTGTATCTCAGAACTTTACTTGTTGGTGAAACATCTTTATGAATGGGCCAGTATGTTTTTAATACTAGAAGAATATTTCCTCCTTTTTTTGTTTCATTCACTATATAACTACGACAAGCAGCACACATTTCATTAACATTTTCTCTGTCACATTCTTCAGCCTGGACAATTAACAAAACAAAAACGATGTGATTATAGTGTTTGTCAATTTCAGAATGAAACGATCCTTATCATGGCCAATATCAAGTGACAGGGAATTGGGAGGAGAGGCACAGTAGCAGCACAACACAACGTTATACAGTCTTTTCACATCAGTAGTCTGCCCTCAGCCAAGAAGGACATGCTCTGAGACCCCCAGTGAAGGCCTGACACCTCAAATAGTACTGAACCCTATACACATGGTGTTATTTTTTTATATAGACGTACCTATGATACAATTTAATGTATGAATTAGGTACAGTAAGAGATTAACAATAATTAATAAAATAGAACAGATATAATGATATACTGTAATAAAAGTTACGTGAGGCTGGGTGCGGTGGCTCACGCCTGTAATCCCAGCACTTTGGGAGGCCGCAGTGGGTGGATTGCCTGAGCTTAGGAGTTCGTGACCAGCCTGGGCAACAGGGTGAAAGCCTGTCTCTGCTAAAATACAAAAGAAACTAGCTGGACGTGACCGGGTGCGCCTGTAGTCCCAGCTACTGAGGGTCTGAGGCAGGAGAATTGCTTGAACCCGGGAAGCAGAGGTTGCAATGAGCCAAGATCGCACCACTGCACTCCAGCCTGGGTGACAGAGCGAGACTCTGTCTCAAACAAAAAGTTATTTGAATGTGATCTCTCTTTCTCTCTCTCTCAGAATAGCTTATTGTACTGTAGTCTCCCTTCTTGTCATGGTGTGAGATGATAAAATACCTGTGTGAGAAGATGAAGTGAGGTGAACGGCCTAGGCATTGTGGCGTAAATGGAAAACGCCAGAAATAAACAAGTCACGCTGTATGTTGTGTACCTTTCTGAGTGGTGTGATGAAATCTTGTACTCCCCATTCCTTCCTGCCAGGATTGCTAGTCACTTGGTAGCCATCTCTTGGTAGTTATCAGATTAACTTTGATGGTATCAGTAACACAGCGCTTATGTTCAAGTAACTGTATTTTACTTAATAATGGATACAAATTGCAAAAGTAGTGATGCAGTATTTTTGGACCATGGTTGACTGTGGGTAACTGAAATTTTAGTTACATGAAACCACAGATCAGAGGGGACTGCACTACAGATAAAATAGGCATAGGTAATGTCAAGACAATAGATATTATTAAAATGTAGAACAGTAATAAAGAAGTGATAAATTGAGAACTTTAATACAATTTATTTTATTATAAGTTTATATAATTTAATTTTTAATAAATTATTGCTGTATTTAACCACTGACTGGCAAAATTGCTGAAAATTTTCCAATCTTGCTGAAAATTTCCCAGTCTGCTCTCAGGAGCCTGTATGAGCCAGCCCAGAACACCACTGGAGTTATAATTTTGGAAGATGACCTTGATAGCAATCTGTAGAAATGTTTTGTAGGGGAGCTATAGTCGGAGTCAAAAGTAGGAGACAGATTATGAAATATCTTCAGACCCTGCTGGCGTGAGGGTTCACATGATGTCTGGTCAGTGGAGCTCATGCAGATTTCACTGGTTTGTGTTTCCATGTGGATCTGTAGGACCTTTAATGAAAGTCTCCTCCAGGTATTCCTGGTGGTGTCTTGGTATTGCCTCACATGTATGTTGACAGCCCCACTCCCTTGGGGGGTCTTATGCTTTGGTTTCCTTGTTGATTACCATGGACCAAAGGGCTTTGTGGGTGAGGCGTCACCTCAGCCATAGCTGGTGACCTCCTGAAGAGGATTTATGCCAAGGGGAGTCACACGCCACGCCCTGTTTTTTCAAGTTTGCAGATCTGGGGGATGGGGGGCAGAGCTCTAGAAAGATGCTGGAACCTGGTACGTGCACTGCAGAAATGTCTTTGACTCCCTTTGTCACCAGGAGCCTGAGGTTACTGTGTTTTTCTGTGACTCACAGAGGCAGGGGGAAAGACAGTCCTCTCCACTTCTTCCTGTGCTGCTTGCTCCATCAGCCTCAGCTAGTCTGGCGCTGGGCAGGGAAACGGGTCCTCTTCCTTCTCCTGGTTTACCCCCTGCTTTGCTCAGAGAGACCTTTGTGCCTGAGGGCCCCCTTTCTCACCTTGCAGATCAGCCGGTGCAGTACTGAATGCCTGATGGACGGCCGGGGGGCCCTGATCCATCTGTATTCCCAGAATGCAGGAATCTCATTTGGGGCCATCCAGCCCCCACTACTCTTAGTAGGTGAAATAAGGTGGAATAGATAAGAGGGCGGAAGTGGCCCCTGGGTACATGATGGGGCCAGTAATGGAGGTACAGGGTGCCTATGTGGCTGGGCTGTGAGACAGGGAAAGAGGGTGGAATTTTGATGCAAGGTAGGAAAGCATGGCTGTGTTCAGTTTGGGACTTGATGATATTTCTGTTGAACAAATCTGTTGAATAAGTGGTACTTGTGGGGCAGTTCAGCAGGCGCTGGGCCTTCAGGAGAAAGAAGGAAGGAATGGTGGCATTGGGAGTAAAGCTGTGGGTATGGATGAATGTCTATGAGACTCCCCTCCTGTGATGATGTAGAATGAGGAGACACAGTCTACAAGTAACTTGTTCAGACGCCCAAGAACACCAGTGTTTAACAGATGGTGTTGGGAAAGGGAGCCAGGCCAGCCAGAGAGGAATGCTCAGGGACCTCTGAAAGGAAGGAAATGGCATGAACAAAGGAGCTAGGGCACAGCAGTGGTGACTCACACAGGGAACACTCTGGCCCATTGCGTTTATGTTTATAGTTTCCCGAGTTTATCTATTCAGGGTTATAATTATGTTAACCTCACCTCCCATCCTCCCTTTGAAAAAAAACCAAAAACCAAAAAACAGTCAAAGACTCTTCAGTATCATGAATGACCCTGGGTGAGGAAGACATCTGACACTTTTATATCATGCCAATACTTCGATCCAGCCTTTTATAATCAGTGTGAGGAGAAAAATTTACTTGAAGCTAAAGGCCTGGGAAGTGTCACCTTTTTCCTGTTTGATGTTTCTTGTTGTGTTTTCCTTATTAATCACTTCATTTTCCCCTTGGTCACAAGCCTGATATTGTTTTTCCCTCCACATGTCAGCTGCCTAGTGTATCAGGCAGTTTTTCACTGTGATACAGACACACAGCAGAGCTGGAGCTGGCAAGGTTACTGCTAGAAATGTGTGTCACTCTTGATGGTTATGTTCACGAGCATCCAGAAAGCCCAGTGCTTCTGAACTGAATTTACAGGCTTTGAAATGACCATGTGGTTTGCATTCAGCAAAAAAATATACCCCAGACATGTGCAAGGGTTGCTGGTTTGGGGAAATTTAGATGACTCCAACGTGAAAAGACAGAGCCTATCTAAAGAGATAGGAGAGCGAGTTTTTTTTTTTTTTTTTTTTTTTTTTTTCATAACAAATCTGTTGAATAAGTGGATTTGGATGTAATCACAGGCTTGCCATATGAAATTCTATTCCATGGGAATTAAAGTTTGTGGCTTTGTGAAAGCACTTATTGCAGACTATGAAAATTTCTCATATTCTTTTGCCAAAACATAGAAACATGGAGAAGTACGAAAAAGCTTTTACTGTGGCTGTCTCCTCTAATCCTCTTAAACACTTAACATGTCCCATGTACATAGCAGGGAAATGCAATACAGCGATCCCTGATAGTGTAGCAACTTAGATGTGGAAGGCTACTGCTAAGGGAATAGGAAGACTAAAGAGAACAATTCTTGTATCAATTAGGAATTGTGTTTCACTGCAAGTATCAGAGCTCCCAGGTAGTGGCTTTATCCGTCATGTTGAAGCAGTCCGGAAACATCTGTTAGGAGCTGGCATGATGGCTCTACAAGTCATCAGTCTCTAGAGCTCTCCAATCTGCCACCTCCAGGATGTGGCCCTTGTCTGATATGGCTGCTGGGGCCCTTAACATCACATTTACATTACAGACAGAGAATGAGGGAAGAGGGGCATGCCACCTCCCTTTGCAGGTCCTGCCTCATAATTTCCAATACTCCCAACGACATCTCATTGGCTAGAGCTGAGTAGCATAGCCACACCTCACTGTGCACCTCTAAATTCTCATAAATCTCATTTTTTGAAAAATTAACTCACAATCTTCTCTTGTCCTGACCAGTACTGCAAGAGATTGGGAGAGTGCTCGTACAACAGTGAGATTGTTTAGTGACTTTTCTGGATGATTCCATGCCAAGAGGTCTTCCTCTGTGTCCTTTCAACGGTAATAACTAACATCACGAATCAGTCAGCGTTTCCCGGAGGTGCAGACTTAGCAGATTACACATATTAAGGGATTTATTACAAGGAATTGGCTTACTCAGTTGTGGGACTGGCTAAGCATGCTTGAAATCCACAGGGCAAGCAGGCAGGCTAGTGGAGCAGGCTGGAGCCGGGTGCGTGGAGCTGAGGCTTGGAGTCTCTGAAGCCAGGGAGGGCCTAAGCCCTCTTTTAAAGGACTCAGCCTACTCAGGGTAATTACATCAGTTCTACTCGGGATAATCTTCCTTTTGACTAACTAAAATCAACTGATTCGATATCTTACATCTGCAAAAATCCCTTCACAGCAGCAGTAGGTTAGTATTTAATTGAATAACTGGGTAAAGGCACGTGTGTACACCCGTGTCTCTTTTCTTTGTTCAACTCTCAGGAGACAATATCCTTTCACCCTAAGTGGACGCCTACAAGAAAGGGAATTCTGGGCAATGTAGTTCAGCCCAGCCACATCACATACTATTATTTAGTAGTAATGTAGAGAGAGACCTAGGTAAAAACAACAGTATTTCTTCATTCTGATATTGGCAGCAGGTGAGTCATCATTATTGGCTAAAATCAGGAACTGGTATTAATGCATTTTGTTTTCCGCTTTGTTCTCCTCTGTTACAGATAGTGAAGAGTTAGTGAAGAATTTGAGGGTCATCAGCTACTGTGAACTCATCAAAGTTAGTAGCACTTAAAATTTACAGACACTTTTCAAAAGAAGACATTTATGAGGCCAAGAAACATATAAAAAAGTGCTCATCATCACTGGTCATTAGAGAAATGCAAATCAAAACCACATTGAGATACCATCTCACGCCAGTTAGAATGGCGTTCATTAAAAAATCTGGAGACAACAGATGCTGGAGAGGATGTGGAGAAATAGGAACGCTTTTACACTGTTGGTGGGAGTGTAAATTAATTCAACCATTATGGAAGACAGTGTGGCGATTCCTCAAGGTCCTAGAAATAGAAATACCATTTGATCCAGCAATCTCATTACTGGATATATACCCAAAGGATTATAAATTTTTCTATTATAAAGACACATGCACATGTATGTTCATTGCAGCATGTTTTACAATAGCGAAGACCTGGAACCAACTCAAATGCCCATCAATGTTAGACTGGACAAAGGAAATGTGGCACATATACACCCTGGAATACTAAGCAGCCATAAAAAAGGATAAGTTTGTGTTCTTTATAGGGACATGGATGAATCTGGAAACCATCATTCTCAGCAAACTGACACAAGAACAGGAAACCAAACACCACATGTTTTCACTCATAGGTGGGTGTTGAACAATAAGAACACATGGACACAGGGAGGGGAACATCACACACTGGGGTCTGTTGCAGATGGGAGGCTAGGAGAGGGATAGTGGGGGTGGGGAGATTGGGGAGGGATAACATTAGGAGAAATACCTAATTTAGGGGACAGGGGGATGGAGGCAGCAAACCACGATGGCAAGTGTATACCTATGTAACAATCCTGCAAGATCTGCACATGTACCCTAGAAATTAAAGTATAATATAAAAAATTTACTTTTAAAATGAATGAAAAGGTGTCCAAGCTTCTAATAGCACAAATATTTTTTTCTCATTTGTACCTTTTTTTGTCTTCTGTATACAGATATTTCCACTGTGGCCACTCCCCAAAGGGGCTGTTATCCGAGGAATACTGCTGACTCTGTGTCCCCAGGTTTACAGAGCAATCTTTCTGAAGCACAAATTAGATTACATTATTCTACAGCTTAAATCCTTCTGTGCACATCCCATCACCCAAGAGTAGATCTATTATAGATCTCAGAGTGGCATTCAAGACCCTGCTCAATGTGGGTGCCATGCATTTTTTCACCTTTATTTCCAGCCTTCCAATATACATAGATACATCTTCCTCCCACACCCTCTGCAGGCTTTTCAGTGCCATGTGCTTTTCTCCTTTGGGGCTCTTTGAATAGGATGCCCCTCCTCCCGTGTCTGTTTATAGATAGAAACATCCTGTGCATTGGAGGAGTCTGCCCTGAGCACCATTTTCCCAGCATGCTGAATTATTTCTGTTCCTCTGTGTTTGCACAGTTTGTGCACAGTAGAGTTTTGTCAGAGCCATGTAGACTGGCCTCCTTCATGAGTTTGCCAGCTTTTTGAGGACAATGTCTGTCTGATTCATCATCAGATTCTCAGTGCCTAGCAGAGTGCATAGCGCGGGTGGTCACGCAGTAGATACTGGAGTAAACGAATACAATTCAAATAAACAGTCTCATTCACAGATGCAAACCAGCTCCTCTCATGACAGCAGAGAATCGAAGCTCAAACAAATGATCAGAGTTGGCAGTTGAAGTGCTACATATAGACAGAACTTAATAAATGTCTTTGTCTTAAGCCATTGATGATAGTGATGTGTTTTTGTAAATGTAGATAACCACAAGCAGATGTGTCAAAGCTCTTTTGTCCAGGAATAAACTGAGTTTCGTCATCATCTTGACAGCACTTTCCTGGATTAGTGTTCAGGAAACATGAAAAGTTTTTAGAATAGTTCCACAAATGTGTAATAAAAGTTTGTTATCTTATTTGTTGTTATATGGTCTCTTGGCTTGCGTTTTTACTTGGGAAGCTAATAGAGAGATGGGATATTAGAAAACCAGAGGCAAACTGCTGGGGTTATTGAAGCACTAACTGAATGAATGCAGGTATATGAGTAATCCAGGAATCCTATGCTTTAAGAAAAAATTCATTTCTATCTCCTCCGTATTGTTGTTACCTTGTGAACCTGCCTTGTTTTTCTCAGCAGTTGGTAAACTGATAAACCTGTTTCTCACTGTCATTTACCTCATCAGTTTACCAGCCCAGAAAGCCTCCTTTCAGTCTTTAAAAAAAAAAAAAAATGCAGATACACTCCCAAACACAAAAGTTAATTTTCTTCTTCTTCTTCTTCCTCTTCCTCCTCCTCCTCCTCCCCTTCTTCTTCTTCTTCTTTCTTCTTCTTTCTTCTTCTTTCTTCTTCTTCTTCTTTTTTTTTGAGACAGATCTTTGTTCTTGTCACCCAGGCTGGAATGCCATGGCACCACCTCACTGCAACCTCTACCTCCCAGGTTCAAGCGATCTTCTGGAGCAGCTGGGATTATAGGCATCCACCACCATGCTGGGCTAATTTTTATATTTTTAGTAGAGACAAGGTTTCGCCATGTTGGCCAGCTTGGTCTCGAGCTTCTGACCTCAGATGATCCACCAGCCTTGGTCTCCCAAAGTGTTGAGATTACAGGTGTGAGCCACTGTGCCTGGCCAAATTTTGTTCTCGAGGCTGATAATCGTACTATTTTTTTTTTTTAACAAAATATTTTTGTTCCCTTTTTAAAAACCAAGTTGGTTCTAGTAATATTTAAATTTCATTATCAGGGAAAAATATTTTCTTTTCCTAAAGTCTCAAAATATCTCTGAGAATTCAGAGATAATATGCTTGCTGCTCCATAGAAGGTGGCTATTCTTTAACTTGCATCAGCCTTCCTCATTTTTACCATGCCCCCAGTGCACGTACACACACCACACCGTACCATGAAAATTAACAAGGGAAAAATGGCCTGAATTTTATTTTCTGGGAATGGTGACATTCAAATGAGTTATAAAATATGCAAATATATTTTAGATTCCTGGTGCACAAATCCATAACATTTTCTCCTAGGTTGATAATATGGTCATCAAGTTCTTGGGTGCTGCATTTTGTACAGTCAACTCTTGCAACGCGAGAGAACCATCAGCCACTTGGGGACACGGAGATATTAATGAAAAAACCAAAGAAGGCATTGCAGAGGGAAAGTAATTTGATCACAAAAAATGTAAGAGAAAATACTCAAGGCCATTAGTCTATTCCAACATTACGGATCCAGAAAGTAGGCCTGTGTGGAGCAGAGATGACCATGCCCTACAGACATCTAATGTACCATACAGACTCAGTAAAACCCTGGCCAGGGGCCTGTTAGCTGGTACTTCGGCACAGGCCTGCAACCTGAGAGACAGAAGGGGCCAGAGGTGGACAAGCAGAATGGGCAGTGATTGGCAGGAGAATTCAACTGTAAGCTTTTCAGAACAGGGACCATATTTCATTGACTCTCTGTTGTGTGCTGGGTGCCTAGCACTCTGCTATAGATATGAACTCAATAATATTTGTTTAATGAATGGCTGGCTGGATGAGCTGAGAGATTCTAGAAGGAATCTAACAGGGAATGGATGCACAGAGACTGGAAGGTTTAAAGCAGTGATAACTTACTGTGAAGGGAGTTAGCATGAGGTGTCACTAGGGAGGCATTGCGTGTATTGAAAGATCTCTTTGATTGGCCGGAATGTTTGCATAAGAGATAAGAATTCATAAGGAAATTCCTATGTTACCTAGTCTAGTTGCAGTTTTGCCAGATGAGATATTTTGTTGTTATATATAAAATAAACACTTGTTGGTTCGTATTTTGAATAAGTAATTAAACTACACTGAAGTTCAACCGACATGGAAGCTTAAATTACAGATTTTATGACACCATCCTGAAGAGTAATGTTGCTTTGAGCAAAAGAAATTCTGAAATGCTGTTTGAGCCCTCAAGCAGAATTCAATTATGATAAAAATATCTTAGTGTTTCTAATTCTTTATTCTGTCTAATTCTTTGAAATTAGGATAATTACATCTAATACTTTGGATATCCAAGTATTTGCTTAGACATCTCGCTTGCTACATTTCTCCCTGGCTCTGGGCAGACAGGATTCTATAATGCGGAATCAGTCTAACCAGCCATTTCCAGATGGACTTGGAGGTGGCTGCTGCTTTGTTTAGAAAGACAGTCTTACTGGATCTTTTCTTTATCTTCCTGGACTCAGAAATTCACTTTCATTAGTTCAGCCAGGGATGAACAAACCCTACAGGTTGGCCGAAAATCAGATCCACTGGGGGACTGATGAAGACCAGAATAATAGTTAATTATTCTGAGAAAGTGTTACTTCCAAATAGTTGGAATAGTTTATTGGTGGGTAACTATTCTTCTGCCAGGAAAATCTGCCATGAACCTACATTGAGGTGACAAGATAGTCTGGAGAGCACTGAGCAGAATAAAGGGAGCCTGACGGCCGTACTCCTACATACTGTTTCCAGTTTGGAAATTCAACCCAAGAGACATTTATTGAGGGTCTGCTGCATGTGAAGGAAAACAAGCTGCCGCTATTGAACCCCTCCTGTGTGGTAGGCACTGTTCAGTTCTTTAACACTTTGGTGTTTTACATGCTTGTTGCATTTAATCTCATTTAATGGGTAAATCACTGTGGGGAGTACGAGGCTGAAAGAAGCAGCCTCTAGCCCCAGGGACGTTCTAGACCTGTACTGTCCAGTGTGATGTCCCCTAGCCACATGTGGTTATTTGAGAATTGAAATGTGGCCTGTCCAAGTTGAAATGTGTTCTAAGTGTAAAATAGACACTGGATTTCCTAGCACACAAGAAATGTAAAATATCTCATTAATAATTTTTGTGTGGATCACATTTTAACATTACACAGTATTTTGGATAAATTAGGTTAAAGAAACTCATTAAATTATTTTCACCTATTTTATTGTACTTTTGATGTGGCTACGAGACATTTAAAATTATATATGTGGCTCATATTCGTAATTCATACTGTATTCTGTTGGAATAGGGAACAGAATAGAGGTAAGATATACATTGCTGAGATCGGGGCTCCCTTCCAACCTTATGACAAGTATTGAAATTGGGGTAAACATTTTGAAGGATACTTTGGCAGTGTTCCACAACAAAATCTGGATCTTTCCAGGAGTTACTATAGTATTCCTGTAGTACTGTGTCTGTACTTCAGACACAGAATGCCGAGTTTAACATAGGTATGCCTAACATCGTATTTAACTTTTCCTTATGATTCCCTCTAAAGTATATGTTCGTATGTTATTAGCTGTTAATTGACTATAATATGCTGGGCACTATGTGAGGTGTCCACTACAGTGGTAGGTAAATATGGAGATCCAGATTCAAGTATTAGATGATTCTAAGGTGGAAGGTTCTAGAGCTATTCGCTGTCTATAAGTAGCTATGATACCAGATACAAAGTGACAGATGCCTTATGTGTGGCAGGTGAAGAGCTTTGGTTGTTCGAGAGTGTGGTCACTGTCTGGCTTGGAGCCTGTTGAGCTGGAGCCTGGAGGACAATAGGACATCCTTGGGCAAGATTGGGTAGGTTTCGGTGGTGGTGATCCAAGGGAGGGAACAGCAAGAGAAAGGCTCGGAGGTGAGACATTCTTTGGGAAGAATGGGGCTAACATTTTCCTGGGACATGGCACGTGTGCAGGGGAATGATACGAGACTGGACTTTAAAAGTGGATGGCCAGGCTAGGGAATGTGGACATTTTCCCTGACTGCTTAAATGTTATTCAAATGGTTTTTTAGATACATAATTAGCGGTCCCTCTAAAATTATGAATTTTTGAAAGTGTGGTATTGTCTTTTCCTTCTGAGAGTGAGCTGACTTAGTGCTTACATGTTTTTAAAATAAATTCTGTTGAAATAATTACTTTGAGTCTAGTTTCTTCAGATCCTCCAAATGTGGTATTTGTTTTGTTCCAAGTAGCAACATGTTCTTTTTAGGAATGAGAACTGTAAGACACAAAGAGATGTGCTGAGACAGGAGGATCCATTTTTCTCTGATAGCCAATTGGATGAAGTGTTTAAAAAAGTACGCCAGCTCTTTATGTCTTATATTTTCCATTCTATGAACGAAAAACACTTCCATAGAAATTATTTTTAAGACTATGAAGTCAAATAATACCCACGGGTCTTGAAAAGACCAAATGGGTACACATGTTGTCCAAACACAGAGAGTGTAGGCCAAGAGTCCTGAAAGTGCTGGAGAGTGTTCCAGTTCAGAGGGTGGGGCGGTGCAGTGCCTCACGCCTGTAATCCTAGCACTTGGTAGCATGAGGCAGGCAGATCACTTGAGCCAGGAATTTGAGACCAGCCTGGTCAACATAGGGAGACTCCATCTCTACAAAAACATTAATACAAAAACTAGCAGAGTGTGACAGTGCGTGCCTGTAGTCTCCCAGCTACTTGGGAGGCTGAGGTGGGAGAGTCACTAGACCCCAAGAGGCAGAGGTTGTAGTGAACCATGAGTGCACCACTGCACTCCAGCCTGGGTGACAGGGCGAGACCCTGTCTCAATAAATAAATAAATGAGCAAGCAAGCAAACAAACCCTGTTTCAATCAATAAAATAAAAACAGGAGTCAGACGTTTGGATCTAAATCTCAGCTCTAACATCTGCCAACTTTTCTGCTCTGTCTTCTGATATCCTCAGACCAACAACTTTATGTCCACTCCTCTGACTCCACGACCGTTTTGCTTTCCATCAATGCCCTGTGTAGTCAGTCTAACGTTCCACTTTATCACCTTATCTCCTTGGTCCGCCGTGGTGGTTACTCTACTTGCCTCCCTCCTCTTTCTATCCTACTCTCCTGCAAAACACAACCCTGGTTAAAATCAGGGATATTTGGGCATAACTCTGCACTTTCTTCCAAACAACGGAGCACACCTGGAAAACACACACGCACCACTCTGATGACATTAAATTAATCACCCTGCCTTCCATCCCTGCCTCTGCTGACACTCAGCCCTCTCTGGCAACCCTACTGCGTTTCCTAGTAAATAGGAAATAGTTTCCTAGAAACTAAAAGCAGTTTCCCAGCTCCCATATCCTCCTGCATCCATCCATCATCTGTCCCCCATCCCTTTCTCTTTATCATGGACACATAGGCGTCCTCCTGGTTGAGGTCCGTTGCACCCCAGTGTACCCGATCTGTTGCTCTCGCCTGCTCAGAACTCTGCTTCCACAGCATCTGCCCACTAGCTTCATTAAAGTTCCTCTTTTTACAGGATCATTCTTATTCAAACATCCTATAATGTCTCCCTTCTTTGCAAATACCTCCTCTTAATTCTTTATCTCCCTCCGGATTTGCCTCATATCTTTGTTCCTCTTCAAAGCAAAACTCTGATAAGTTATCAGTCTGTTCTCACTGTCTCCAATTCCGTACCCCACACTCTCTTCTAACAGTATCTTATAAATGTTTCAAACATGCAGGAAAGTTGAAAGAATTTTAAGGTAAACACCCATAAACCACTACCTAGATTCTACAATCAAGTTTGCTTTATTGCTTGAATACACGTCTTCTCACCCATCTATCGCTTTATCCTTTTGTCCATTCAATTTATGTTTTAGATACATTTTAAAGTAAGTTGCAGGCATCAGTACACTCACTGCTAAACATTTCAGTGTACATATGATTCATTTGCTTCCCTGTTTGTTTCTAGTTCTCTTTTGAAGTAAAATGTATATACAGCTAGTGCTCCACTTACGACCACGATTGGTTCTGACAGACCGGTCGTAACACGATTTGGTCGTAAGTTGAGTAGGCTATATGCACGTGGAGATGGTAGTGCTGCCGGAAGCTGGTCCACACTGTCGTACGCCCAGCTGGGCAACGTTTGCGTTGCCAGACCCGGAGCAGTTGTGGCTAGCGATTGTGGTCGTAAAGTCAAATGGTCGTAAGTTGCATAGGCCGTAAGTCGATCAATGCTGTACACTGAAATGCTCCTATCTTTAGTGTACCATTCAGAGTTCTGAAAATACATGTACCACCTCTGCAATCCAAACCCTTTTCAAGGTACAGAATACGACCATTGCCACAGAAAGTTCCCTCATGTTCCTTCCCAATTCGCCCCCAAACCATCCTCTTATACTCTGCCAGAGGCAACCACTGTTTTGATTTTTTTCCCCACCATATGTTATTTTTGCCTTTCTAGAAGATTATCAAAATTGAATCATACAGTATATGTATTCTTTCATGTAAGGCTTTTTTTACTCCACGTAATGTTTCTGAGATGTTTTCATACCATGTATATCAGTAATTCATTCCTTTCTGAGTGAATCCATTCCTTTCTGAGCTGCTAAGTATCATTTGTTGTTTGATTATACAACAGGCTGTTTATTCTTTTTTTTACGGCTGGATGCCCGAGTGGCTTCCAGGTTTTGATTATCATGAATACATCTTTTTGTGGCTGTGTTTTCTTTTCTCTTCGATAAATACTTCGGAATGAAATGACTGGGCCATATGATAGGTGTGTATATTTAGTTTTATAAGCAATGGCTAGAATTTTTTCTAAGTTTGTTGTAGTTTTACCCCCACCCATGGTGAATGTAGTTTTACACTCTGACCCATGGTGAATGAGGGTTGTGCTCTCTCTGCATCCTTGCCAGCATTTGGGTTTGATGGTCTTTTTAACGTTCACTTGTTCTAGTGGGGATGTAGCAGTACCTCATTGTGCGTTTCTTAAATTTCCTTGATGGATATTAACATTGAGCACTTTTTCATGTGCTTATTGTCACTAGTCTATCTCCCTTTGTTGATGTCCGGTAAATCTTTTGCTCAGTTTTATCAAATTGTAGGCATTCATGATGTATTTGAAAATATTAGTTCTTTGTCAGATATATGATTTGCACATATTTTCTCCCAGGCTGTGGCTTTCCTATTTATTTTTTAAACGGTGCCTTTCAATGAACAGAAATTTTAAAAGTTGCCTATTTTTTCCTTTTATGTTGATTGCTTTCTGAGCCATATCTAAAAGCTTTATAATTTTAGTTTTTACATTTATGTCTATGATCCATCTCAGTTTTTGAGTATGGTGTGAGGTCAGGGTTGAGACTTATTTATTTTTGCTATGTAGATATTTAGTTATTTTAGCATCATTTGTTAATAAGTCATTTTTTTCTCTGTTGGATTTTTCTGCCACCTTCATGAAAATTGAATGAGCATGTAAGTGTGAGTCTATTTCTGAGCTCTCTATTATGTCTCATTGATCTATTTGTTGATCCTGTCCTAGTACCACACTATCCTGATTACTGTAGACTTAGTATGATGTTTGGAAGTCAGGTAGTGTGAAGTCCCCCAACTTTGGTTTTATTTTTTATGATTGCTCTGGATAGTCTAAATACTTTAACTTTCTATACACATTTTAGAATGAGATTATCAATTTGTACAAAAAAGTTGGATGAGATTATAACTGGGATGGTGTTGAATCTATAGATCAGTTTGTGGAGAATAGAAAACTTAAAAATATTGGTATTTCAATTCATGAACATGGTATATCCACTTATTTAGGTCTTTAATTTCTCTCAGCAATCTCTTGTCACATTCTCATTTGAGCCCACTTTTTAGGCTTTTGCATAAAATTCCCCTGAGCCCACTCTTGAGGACAGCCTCCATGTTTCTACATCCGGTGATCAGTTCTCAGACTTATGTATCCAAACCCCAGTCCTGAATCTCAGACTTATGTATCCAAGCCTCAAACTTACATATCCAACTTCCTACTCCCCTTCATTTGGGTATCTAAAAGTTCTCTCAAACGTAACCTACCCAAAATGGCACTCTTGATTTGCCCCTAAAACTTACTGTTTCTCCTCAGACCCCACCACCCACAATGTTCCCCAGCTAATAATTAGACTTTTCTCCCTTTACTCATTTGAGTCCTAGGGTCTTCCTTGGCATTTCTCTTTCTTTTACACTCTGCATCACAACCCACATCAGAAAATCTTCTTGGCCCTATCTTCACAGTAGATCCTAGATCTGACTGCTTCTCTTCATCTCCCACCTGGACTACTTCAGTCTTCTCCTCAGTAGTTTGCCTTCTCTCAGTCTATTCTAGCCTTTTCTCATTTTTATTTTTAATTGAGACACAGTCTCTGTCTGTTGCCCAGGCTGGAGTGCAGTGGCACGATCTCGACTCACTGCAACCTCTGCCTCCCAGTTCAATCAATTCTCCTGCCTCAGCCTCCTGAGTAGCTGGGATTACAGGTGCCCACCACCATGCCCGGCTAATTTTTGTGTTTTAAGTCAAGAGGGGGGTTTCACCATGTTGCCCAGTCTGGTCTCGAGCTTCTGACCTCAAGTGATCCACCTGCCTCAGCCTCCCAACGTGTTGGGATTACAGGCGTGAGCCACCGTGCCCAGCCCTTCTCAGTCTATTCTTTACCTACCCAACTTGAGTAATCGTTTCAAATGGCACAGTGTTTCACTGCCTTAATTAAATCCTTTCAGGGCCTTTTCAGTGAAACTATGCCATGGTTTACAAAGCCGTACATGATCAGACTTCCCAGATTCTTCTCTCAGCACACCCTCTGCTGTTGCTCTTTCTTTCACAGCATTGACTACGCTGGCCTTTTTGTTGTTCTTCAACACGCCAAGTCTGTAGCCTTTGCAGTTTCTGTTTCTTCTGCCTGGAACCTTTTCCCAGGTGATTACATAGCCTGTCCCCTTACTTCGTTCAAGTCTCTGCTCAGGTGTCATCTCCCCAGAGAGGCCTTTTCTGACCACCTTATCTAAGGAGTGTGCCACCTCCCCACCACTCACCCCATCTCTCTCCAGTCCCTTACTCTGCTTTGGTTTTCTTAACAGCACTTAGTATTATCTGGCTTTATATAGATTTGTTTTAATTTTTGATAGTCTGTCTTCCCTAATAGAATATAAACTCCCTGAAGATAGAAGCTTTCTGCTTTCATCATTAATGCTGATAGCAATGCCTGTCACATAGTAGGTACTCATTAAGTACATGTTACATGCCTGACCCTGGGAAATTTAAACTTTTTGGTCCCATTTTCGTCACCTGAAAAACGGGGAAAATAATGGTCTCTAACTCATATGGCAGATGTGAATGTCAAGTAAGATATTGATTCTAATAAGATATTATGGCAATAGCATTGGCTATTGTTTGGCAATTATCATTAAGTAA